TTTTTTTTTTTTTTTTTTTTTTGTTTGGTTTGTTGCGGTGGGGGGGGAGAATAGATAAACCCCTATTGAAGGCGGGGACTGCCTATCATAAATACAAAGTATGCTGGCTCTCTTATTTTATTTTGTTTGTTTGTTTTTGTTTTTGTTTCGTTTTTTTTTGTTTTGGTTTTGTTTGGTTGCTGCTTTTTTCTTTTTTCTTTTTTTTTGTTTTTTGTTTGCTTATTATATATCTAAATATAAATATAAATGTAAATATAAATATATATTTGAGGCGAAGAGCAGCATCTGGGGTGTATATGCAGCATAAAGTGGTCGTTTTTTTTCGTTTTTTTTTCGTTCTTTTTGCAACAAATAAAATAAATAAATAAAAAAATAAAATAAATAAATAAAATATTTAAATAAATAAATAAATAAATAAAATATTAAATAAATAAAAAACTTTTTTCTATATTCAGGCCAAAAGAAACAGCTGGCCGAAGGTAATTAGATTCGTTGCTATGAAGCATTTGCTGGGGTGTATATGCAGCTTTTTTTTTTGTTTTTTTTCGTTTTTTTTTCGTTTTTTTTTCAACAAATAAAATAAATAAATAAAAAATATAATTAAATAAATAAATAAATTACTTTTTTATTTATTCAGGCCAAAAGAAACTGCTGGCCGAAGGTTAGAGGTGTTGCTATGAAGCATCTGGGGTGTATATGCAGCTATTTTTTTTGTTTTTTTTTCGTTTTTCTTGCAACAAATAAAATAAATAAATAAATATTATAATTAAATAAATAAATAAATTACTTTTTTATTTATTCAGGCCAAAAGAAACTGCTGGCCGAAGGTTAGAGGTGTTGCTATGAACCCGGTAGAGCACCCCCACGGTGGTGGCAACCACCAGCACATTGGCCACCCCTCAACTGTCTCCCGGCACGCGCCCCCAGGTATTTATTTTTTATTTATTTTTATTTTATTTTATTTATTTATTTATTTTTATTTATTTATTTGTTTATTTGTTTTGTTTTTGGTTTGGGTTGGGTTGGGTTGGGTTGGGCTGGTTTTTGTTTCGTTTCGGTTGGCTTTATATTTCTTTACTTTCGTTTGTTGTTTATTTATTTTATTTATTTTATTTATTTTATTTATTTTGTTTTTTATGTTGTTTATATAATTTATTTTATTATTTATTTTATTTATTTTATTTACTTTATTTATTTAGTTGTATTATATTATCTGCTGTATATCTTGTATTTAATTTTTTTTTTTAATTCTCTTCCTTTATATTCTTTCTGCTCCCGCTGCTGCTGCTGCTGCTCCTCCTGCTGCTGCTGCTGCTGCTGCTGCTGTTGCTGCTGCTGCTGCTGCTCAGGTCAAAAGGTGGGTCTTATTGCTGCTCGCCGCACGGGTCTGCTGCGGGGTGGCCGCAAGACGA